GAGCGTGGAGGGGAGGTGGATGAGGTGAGGAGGAGGCAGAGATGGGAGCTGTGACCAAGGAGTGTTGAGTTAGGCAGAGGGACAGCACATGCAAAGTCCTCCACTGTGGGCGAGAGAGGAAGACTGCAGGCCTCTGCCATGCTTCCTGACTCCTGCTGTGCTCTGTCGTCCATTTGGTCTCTATCTGGAGGCGGCCAATTCTTTAATATCACTAGTCTAGGAGAACCAGTGATAAAAGAAAAATTAAGTATTGTATGGTATGCGTGGTGTGTGCACGTGTGTAAACACAGCCTGGCACGTGTGTGGAGTCGGTTCTCTCCTTCCACATTGACATGGCTTCCAGGGACCAAACTCAGGTTGTCAGGCTTGTATCGTTGAGCCGCAGGCATCCTTACCCACTGAGCCAACTTGCTGGCCCATTTCTTTCTTTCTTTTTTTCCTTTTGAGACAAGGCCTCATCTATCCGAGACTGGCCTCAAACTCTCTGTGCAGTCAAGGATGACCTTGAACTTCTGGTCCTCCTTCCTCCAGATCCTGGGTGTCCTTGGGCTTATAGGCAGGGGCCACCAGACAGGGTTTATGTAGCGCTGGGACTGAGCCTAGAGCATCATGTACGCTAGCCCAGCAAGTTCCAGTTGCATATTATTCTTTTCAAGATCCTATTATGTATTTGTGTCTGTGTGAGGGTGTGTGTCTGGAAGACAGAAGCGGTTATCCTCACAGCAGCCCTATGAGACAGACACTGCTATCTGTCATCACCATGTTCCAGAAGCCCAGAGGCGCTAGGGGACTTTCCCAGGGCACAGTGAAATTACATGGCCGGGCTAGACTGCGGATGCAGCTGGCACTTCTGCACTGTTGGAGGTGCCAGCCCAGACTGAGTGCCAAATGCTGCCAGAGAGGAGTGGCCTTCTGTCACTCAGGGAGTACACTGGATAGATAGACAGCAGGAGCCAAGGGAGCTGCTGGGCAGAGGTGGAGGAAGGACCCTGGGAGGCCGAGGAACCCATCCTCCGTCCAAGCCACACCTGTGCGCATCTCCAAGATTGGCCACTAGGTGGCGACCTCTCCCCCTCCACAGAACTGGTAACTGAGCTAGTGGTGAGTCCTCCCTGTGGAGTTGTAACTCTGCCTCCCCCTCCTTCCTTGGAGACAGGGGCTTGCTACATAGACCAGGCTTACTTCC